ATTAGTCTAGAATCGATTAATTTTATGGAAGAAAACCTTTCAAACAGCCGTAGTCCGTAAACTTCACACGTGTCGGGCTGTGATTGGCAAGGACTCGTACAAAATTGATTCATAAAGAACGGAACGTATCTACCGTGTTATAGGGGGGTCGACTGTATATAAAAAAAACAAGCGGTTGAAATATATTCTTTATACATCACTTAATATAAAACTATCAAACATCTCACTATAGACATACAGTAGTACAGTAAAACCCGTAAAGATATTAGAATGTGTATGGTGACACGATTTAGTTCAACCACTTTGACGCTTAATAACTAACTCCTGTGTTAATGTAACAGCCGGAAAAGTAAAAATTATCAAATACATATTTATATATTGACTGTGTCATTACTTAGGGTGGGTCCGTCTCGGATGTGTCGGGTTCTCTTTCACCGCCCGATCGCCCATTGTGGGCCTGGCCAAACTCATTATGGGCTTACTAAGGGCCGAGTTTAAAAAAAATTATATATAGATTCTGTTTATTATTTACTTAATGAACCAATCAAAGTATGAGAAAAAGAAATTTATACACTGAAATTAATGATTATATTTTTGAATTAAAATCAATTTATAATAATAATAATAATAATAAATTTTTCTTAACCTTTTTTAATTTTAATTAAAAGTAAAATTAAATCGATCGTAAATAATAAATTCCCAGAAGCTGAGAACTTCGTTGACTCATAGGTGGAACCCAGATCGATTTTTTTAAAAATCAGACCACGTGTTCGGGGGAAGGGACGTCACGTGTGATGAGAATCATGATACTGCGAGCAAATCGGTTTCCTTGTCAGGTGGCCTTTAATGATTGTAAAATTGAAAAAAATGGTGTCACATCTTCGTGAGTAATTAACCACCTGTTCTTATTTACGTTATGATTTATGGAGATCGATCAAAATTTTTCAATTATATTTCTTAAATAGTTTAGAAAAATGAAAAATGAATCATAGTTTATCGAAGCTGACGAGAGGAGTGGAATTTGCACCGTTGAGAACTTTAAGCGATTTCCTATTAGAATCTGCCAGATTTCAAATTCCTGACTTCAAAGACCAGAACAGATGGGCTAATCGAATTAGAAATAACCTTTTATACTACCAGACGAATTACTTTTTAATGATTTTTTTGATATATTTAATTTTCTTGTAAGTATTTTTTTGGTATTTACTTTGAATTAAATATAGTAATAGTAGCCTACGTTTGATTTTATTCTAATAAAGTATTATTACAAAAAGTTTGTTTTTTGAAGTTGTGTACTGGTATGTAGTCCTACATATTGCTAATTTAAACAAGTTTTGGATGGATGGATTGATAGGTAAGGCAATGCAACACTTGGATGATCTGTCAAAGAGGAAAGAGTTTTTATACGGGACACTTGCCCGTATTTAGGTGTTGGACAAGTGAACGAAACCCAGAAAACTAAGTGATCGGCTTGCTTTTCGGGCACAAACCCCCCGCAACCACCGGTGTTTGGTGGTTTTATCCGTTTGATCGTTGACGAGCAAGCGGGTTTCGGTTTGTTCTGTAATTTGGCTTTAATATATAACAATCAGGAATGGATGTTTAAATTTGGCTCGTGATTAATCCGAGGAATATTGCATTGTTTTTTTCAAAAATACTTTTTTTTTCACAAAAGGATTATAGAGTTGGAATGTTGTAATTGGATAATAACATTTGACAATAATCTATAATTAGTAAAACCAGTAAATGGCTAGAATATAAATCACTCTAAATCCACTATACTCAACCTTTTTTTTTTTCTTGGGCCACATACACACGATAGCTATTACACGGGGGCTACAACATAACGATTATAATAAAAAGCTAGAAAATTAGTGTGACTGTTGATGTTGCAAACATTTTTTCACAATTTTATTTAAATCAGGCTTTTAACTGCTGCATGCTGCTCGTAAAACAGCATCCAGGTGTGAATCAGTAAGCCGGTTTCTAGTTTCTATATATGTTCTTTGCATTTTGAGGTTACTCCTACTCCTCAATAACAATATTTCATCATTGCCACATGACTCATCAGGCTACTTTGTTTGTTTTTTGAATTTTGATCATATTATATGGTAGCCTAATCAGAATTCAAAGAGCTGTAGCTATATTGTTTTTCATTTATTTAATGCAAATTACAAAACAAAATACATATTTGATTTAAACTATTTATTCAGTACTGAAGAAAACAAACAAAAATCTGAAGGGGAAAAAAACTAATAAAACTATTAAAAGTAAAAACTAGAACTATTCTTTTAATCTACTAGATTAAGTTACTTCTCAAAAACAATACGCTCTCAATCAAATCTTTCATTGAAGCACGCAAATCAGATTTTATTATTTTGAGTGTTGAAAATAGCCTTTTAACACTGACTTGGGTAGGTGGTAGAGCAGTAGCACAAAATGCCGCATCTTGAACTATTAATAGATATTTTTTTATTGCATCTATCACCTCTAACTTTGATTTATGACCTATTTTCTCCACTAAAGTTAAAGCCTGATAGAAATCAAAGTGGAACTTCTCATAACTACTGTACTTGCTGCTAGCGCTGCATCTTCTCTGTTGTTGGTACTATTACTAGCTTGAGCTTCAATGCATCTTTTTTATTTTTTCTTGGTGATCAAGGTATTTTTCAAAATCATCATCAAATTCTAAACTAGAAGTAGCAGGTGATGTGTCAAGCTGAGGAAAGTCCACATAATCTGATTGCTTTTTTCTTGCAATTTTTTTACTCGAACCAAGTAGTGCTGCTTTTCCTCTGATTAACTGATCCTCTGATAGCATTATTCTGTAATTTGGATCAACATAAATTGCTGCTAATAACATATTATCTAGTAACTGAGTTTCTCTACACTCTTTAGACACTGATTCCATCAGCAATTTTGGATAACTTGAAGATTAAATCTCTCCATTCTTTGAACAATAATCCGGGTGTTAGGTAAGACTCTTGGGAATTTAAAGTTTCAATATATGGATGGTGAAGTAATATTTCAAGCTGCTCAAATTCATCCCATACTTGATCAGCCAAAGTTACGTCAGGATGAGGCATAGCAAGGAGTAGAGGCTTTAATTCTAAAAGATGTTTGATCATTAAATAAACACTGTCCCATCTGGTAGCTTGATCAATTAGGACTCCTTTTCCACAGCACCTTTTGAGAATAGCATTAATCTTGGGGTTCCGAGCAGCTGTAGCAACCTGACGCAATTTACTTATGAGCTGAACTGCATGAGCTCCTTTCAGACCATTGCAAATTACAAGCTGTAAAGTATGGACACCACATCTCATATGTTGTATATTGACATTGATGGAAGTGAAACGTGTGAAATTGTTTCCAATAACATCCAAGATTTTGTCTAAGTGCTCATCTTCATCTAAATCAAAATTACTGTCCTCATTCTCCAGGCTCTCCACACGGCTTCCTCCTGATTCAAAATCTGTCTTTTTCTCATTAAGCTTTTCAACTGTTTTTATCATGTTTGATGCATTGTTACTATTTTCAAGATATTTTCCTTCTTAATTTCAAATTCTTTGAGCACATTTTCAATCAATTTGCAAACTTCATTGTTTGCATGCTGGGCTTTAGTATCTTTAACTGTTAAGGTATGTATTATCGTTTCTTTATTTTCATTCACAAATTTCAAAATAATTTACCCGTTGATGGGTGCATGCGTCCATTTTCAGATGAATATACTTTTCCTTGAGCATTTCCTTCAATAATTTTTTTTGACTGTTAGCTTCTATTATTATTTTTCTAATATTATATAGTTCCAAAGATACTCCTAGTTTGGCTGCCATTTCATCAATCAATCCAATAAAACCCGAAGAAGAGAAGACACTGAGTGGTAGTCCATTCTTTACAACAAGTTCAATAATATATCTTTCGAATTTAGCAGCTGTCATTATTGTTGTAATTCTTTGGGACTCAAAATAATTTATTAGAGTATTTTTTCCTTCTACTTTACTACTAGTGTTAGGCCTAGAAATCGATGACTTTTTCGTTGCTTTCCTTTTCCATCATAAGCTTGAATTCTTTTGAATGATAGTGCTCCAAGTGGCGTTTTAAATTGGATGACCTGGTGGGTGCATAGGCTCCTTTTCCTATCCCTGTGCTGATTTCTGAATTGCATTGCTTTTCTGGGTTATCTTCATTCATTAATTGGCATTTGAAGACATTGTTTTATTGAAATAATTCAAAGCATCCAAATACTGCAGATTTCCTTTGTTCCATTATAGGAAATTAAATTATTAAATTTATAGTTTATCTGAAAAATAATTAAGTTAATTTAAATTTAGAGTTAAAGTTAAACTTCAAATAAAGTATTTTCATTAGCTGGATTAATGATTTAAATTAGATGGTGCAATATAATAAAATTGTTTTTTAATGTTTAAATGTGCAATATAATTAAAGGAATAAGTAACAAAATATATTTGTTACTCCTTACTCCTATTCATACTCCTTAAAAACCTCAGACTCTTCTAACTCCTTACTCCTATTCATACTCCTTAAAAACCTCAGACTCTTCTAACTCCTTACTCCTACTCCACAGTCCTGCTTTGAACATTTCATTTTTGAGTATTACGTTTCACATAGATACGTTGATGCGAACAACATAAGTAAAATTTGAGCACATTTTTTTTACAGTCTTATATTGTTCGGGCAGTATTTTCCAGAAGTCAACGTAATTATTTTCGCTCTCTTTTGTTTAAAAATAGCTTCCAGGTGTACATTGTTCTTCATCTCAATAAATTCGTCAAATAGATCTGCGTAATTACATGCCAATATATCAGCCAGTTCTGATATTATTGCCGGTTCCAACAGCCACGGATTTTCAACAAGCAACAGCATATTTTTTATTTTTCTTAGATCATGATGTATGTTTAAATTCCTCGGATAGTGCAGTTAAAAAATTGTATAGTTTTCTGGAGAAATATTAATACAGTCTTGTTTAGCTTACTTGCCATTTGTGAAATTATTTTATTTTCACCCTGTAAACCAGTATTGAGACTGTTAAGCTAATCTGTAATGTCACATAGAAACGCTACAATACACCACCATTCATCATTTTGCAGTTCACTGTAAATTTTATTATTTTGATGTAAAAACAGCATTATTTATTTTTGCAAAGAAAAAAAACCTTTCCAGAACTTTAATGTTGGTTAATACGAGGGCTGTTTGGAAAGTTCGTGGCCTCAAATAGAACAACAAACAAAATAATGTTAAAACTTTTTTTATTTTTCAATGTAGTCTGCTTTGTTAGCAATGCACTTATTCCAGCGATGTTCTAGCTTTTTTATGCCATTACAATAGGTCAATTTGTCAAGGTGTGCTAAATGCTCGTTTACTTCAGAGATGACTTTATCATTTGAGTGGAATCTCTTTCCAACCAAGAATTATTTTAAATTTAGAAAAAGGTGGAAGTCACTGGGGGCCAGATCAGGTGAGTACGGTAAATGTGGAACTAATTGGAAGCTAAGTTCGTTTATTTTTTGTTCAGTGATTCTGGCATTATCGTGGTGAAACAGAACCTTCTTCTTCAAGTGTGGCCTCTTCGATTTCTTTCTTCAGTTTTTCCAAAAGTATACAGTAATAGACAGCATTGATGGTCTTTCCTCTTTCTAGGTAGTCAATAAAGATGATTCCTTTAGCATCCCCAAAAAACCGAGGCCATCACTTTCCCCGCTGATGGAACTGTTTTTGCCTTCTTTGGTGGTGGCGAACTGGGGTGTTTCCATTGCTTCGACTGTTCTTTTGTTTCAGGAGTGTAGTAATGGATCCACGTTTCGTCAGTAGTCACAAACCGACGCAAGAAATCCCGTGGGTTTTTCTTGTAGAAGTCCAAACACTTCTTTGACATCAAAGTGCGAACACGTCTTTGCTCAGCGGTCAGCAGATGCGGCACCCAACTTGCTGAGACCTTCGTCATACCCAAATTTTCGGTTAGATGTGGTGCACTCGGTCGACAGAGATGCCTGTTGTCTCAGCTATCTCACGCGTTTTCAAACGGCGATCTGCTAACACCAAATCGTAAACTTTGTCGATATTTTTTTCAGTGACAGCAGTTGACGGCCGTCCGCTGCGAGGGTCATGTTTCACACTCTCTCTGCCAGATTTAAAAAGGGCTGTCCATTTTTTCACAGTGGTTTACGAAGGAGCAGACTCTCCCAAAACTTCATCCATGTCAGCTTTGATTTGAGATGCGGTCAACCCTTTTTTCGTCAGGTATTTTATGACCACATGAGTCTCCGTCTTCTCCATTTTTGACAAAGCACGTGCACATTGACTATCTGCTAAGCTGTCGTGGCAAAACTTTACGACAAATCAAGCGGAAATTGGTACCGTATCTTTAGCAAGGATGGCTGAATTATTCCCGCCAAAAATTAAATTGATCGCAGCGCCGCATATAGGCAAGGCCGCAAACTTTTCGAACAGCCCTCGTAATATGTGTAATTTATTTTTTATTTATGTTATTTTATGTTTTCATTTTAATATATCATATTTTGAAATACGTAAATTGTTCGTTT